ATCTTTTTTGTCAACTGCAATTATACTATTGGGTAAGGGATCCAAAACCAATGGTCTCATTAGTAAGTGTTTCAGTGAAAACTGCCATCCATTGTGACAAGATATATTAGATGTTATAAATTCTCTTGCAGTTCAGTGATAGCTTTTGCATGTATAAAAATACATTTTCCCCATGCAGGCCAAAAATCTCTCACATTTCTGTTTAGATCATCACAAATTAAATTAGCAATTAGTTTAATTCTCAGAGATAATCTTCTTCATATGATTACATTGACAATGTGATTTCTGTAGGATTGAGTAAACTTATTGACATGAATATCAAATACAGCTGTTCATGCATTTCATATCCACGCAGGAAAAGTACATCAAGTGCAGAACAATTTCTTTTATCTTTTTTTTACTCCAATTACTTTTACTTTTTATACTTTTGGCAGTATGAGTTGGCTTGTGTTGACCCTCCATACTTCTGTTATCTGATCCACCTAGCCTCATAATCCCCCAAGAGTGATTTATTTGAAATAATTTGATCTTATGTGGATGACGTATCTTTACTATAAACTAATTGCAAGAGATGATGAAGAATTTGTTGAAAAGGATGTGGGATAAATGTAGAGAGATTTGTACCCTTCTTAAAGTTACTTTGAGGAACAACAAAGGGAGGTCAGAAAAAAGTGCAGTAATCTGCATTTTGAGGTCCCCACCATAGAAAACATGGAAAGCGCTGAACACTGTGAAACAAGACCACCTTGGATTTTTTTTTAAAATATGAATATTTAGCATGCTACAAAAAAAATCACTTAACACCTGGTGAGGCTGGCTCTTATCAGTTAATAAATTAATAACCTCCTCCATATTCCCTCATCTTAAATCTGTGTATGACTCAAAGTGAGTGCTATATTGCTGTACTTAGTCCTATTACAGTATGATTATTTGGAAATCTGCATTTGGAAACATTTGCCAATAGAAAATGCAAGGTTGCAAACAGCATGAAATATACTCATTTGCCTCGAATACACTCCAAATATCTTCACATAGATTGAACTAAGTACAGCAGTTTATGATAATCTGCACATTGTTTGCACATGCATCTTATTCCTTGATCATGCATTTTATCCACTGGTTTAATGTACCTGCCAAAGAGAGGCTGTGTGGCCCACGGCTGTCCCAAAGTGAATGCATAATAAAGATGATTAAAGCAGTATCTTGTTCCCTGGAGAGTCCTGCTGATGCCCTGTGTGCACTGATAGTCATGGATAAAGAGTCTTTGTCATCTTATCCCCTTTCATATGAAGATGAATCCCTAAATGCTCTAGCACGTAACATATGGCTGTCTAATGGTTTAATCTATTGCTGATCCTTGGTAGTGCTTTGGGAGCAAATGAATTCCAGCAATTGCAGGTGACCTACCTATAAAAGCCTCAAGGGACACATATTACCTGGCCTTGCCTGTTGCCCTCTGTCAGATGGTCAGGCTGTATTGTGCCAGAACTTCTATAACCTCTGTACGTTGTCACTGTAAATCACCCACAGACAACCTGGATAGGGACCGCATGGACAACTGATGCAATAATTCCTAAAGTCTTGCCAATCCTGCACTGACCCTTGAAAGCTGAGGGCAGCACAACTCCCAAGAAGCAACAGATAAGAAATGTTGGCAAGGGACATGCTGTTTCTTTGCATAAGTTTCCCTAAGAAAACTGCAAAGGTAACCACTCCATACTTATATTGACCCTAATTTCCTAGAAGTACTCTCCTATCCACCTGGTTTGATGACATCATGACAGAGACTGAGGAAGATTTATAAATAGACCAAGGTAACAAAGACTGTCAGACAAACTACAGACAAAATATATAGTTCTGATGATAGAAAAAACAAACAAACAAACAAACAAACAAAAAACTGGAGGCAGTAGGCAGAATGTTATTAATACATGTAGCAGAAATTACCTCAATGTTCATTGAGTTCATGTCAATTTTTTTTAATGAAAGCTGCTAGAGCAGGTAAACATGGTGTTTGTGGTCTCGAAGGGTCTGATTGAATATGCAGGCAGACATATGGGGTATGCAACTAACCACCATAAAAAAGAGTTATGTGTTGCAAAAGTAAACACTCTTCTGTGATGGAGGAATAGACAACATCAATGCATACTTGAAATGTCCAGTATGATTTGACTTAAGGAGCAGGGAAAAGTCCCTGGGCTGGATATTTAAAGCAGTACAAACACAGATCCTGTGCTAAACTAAGCCTCCAGTCTGTTTGGAATCCACATAACATTTGACATTGCTTCTCAGAAGCTTCACAGAGTGTGTTTTAGTGGACAGTCTTTTCCCTGCTTATGACAGCATCTGAATTCATCACTTGCTTCATGTTGGTAAATTTACTTGAAGAAAACATGTCTGAAACTAATATGTATTAAAGCTTGATGAAAAGAGAGTTAACACAGTCATACTCTTTCCACAAAGTACACTTTTTTGTACACATATTTTGAGAAGATTTTCTGCTTAGGTATATGCTACTTTGCTTTCAATTTCCTTTTTAGTTCTAAAAGATACATTACAAACTTATATGCCAATACACGATCTAGATCTTGCCATTTGAATATGTATTTTGCTTCCACAGTCAACTTACAAATTACAAATGCTGTCTCTTTTGGTGCAGTCTTTCAACCATTGAATTCTTTTTACCTTCTTGTTCTCATCTGGAATTTGTTGATCACAAGTGCCATAAGAGTACATCTGCTGAATGTGAATAAAACTGTGATTCTGATTCTGGATCAGAAGTCTCATAATCTTCCAGTACATATTTTTCGCTTAATTTGTGAAAAAAAATAATGTGTAGCACCTTGTCATCCACTGTCTCTCTGCTGACAACATTGTGAATTCCATCTTCATTGCTGTGTTTTAAATGACATATCTACATCTTGTTGATTCTATCCAGGCAAGACATCATTACTACTTTTTTTTTTTTTTTTTTTTTTTTTTTTTTTTTTTTTTTTTTTTTTTTTTTTTTTTTTTTTTTTTTTTTTTTGGATTCAAGATCTTATTTCAATTTGGCCCTGTCTTGAAGACTTAGAATACTGTACTGGCTGAGTCAATGCAGTTCTTTTTCCTTTCTTTTCTTTTTTTTTTTTTTTACATAGTCAGTATGCAGTAACAGACCTAATGTTAGTGAATCTTTAATATTTCACTCTTGTTCTGATTTTTTACAACATGTAGAACTGGAATATAGCTAGACCAGAGGAGGTCCCAGAAGGACATTAGAGAAAACCCACATCCCTTGAAAATCCTATTCTCGGAAAAGAAGTATTCTCCAGACAAAATAACTCTTCTTCTTGCCAGGAAAGAAGAGAGCTCATTGTTCTTTGCCAGGAGAATGGGCTGCCCTTGATAAACTTCCTCTTATATTACCTATGCATAAATAATAACCTGCTTTGATTTTGAATTTATTTCTTTTGTCAGACAACCTGTGGGATTTGTGTGTGAAAAACTGGTAATAATTAATAACTTCAATACTGACGTGTCATTTTGATTAATTTCTTTCCTTTTGTACTCAAGGACTAACGTCATGCTTTCCACATAGGGATGTCTTTTCTTTCCCACATTCTGCCCTCATATAGCTTGTAGTAGCTGGATGGGTTTATAGTTATTACATTATGTTTGCTGTTTCCAGAATCAAGATGTGTTTTCATTTCCTGGCAGGCCATTTTATGGGAATTGTTGAAATTCAAAATGTAGTAGATCTTTTTCTTCCTTTTCCTCTACTTCCACAAACCAAAACAAAATAATCTTCCTCTCAGTGAGTCTGTTTCCCCATGTCCTTTTGCAATTCTAGAATGAATTTGAATTTTCTGGTTTTGATATTCCAGCTTTTTTTTTACTTAAACAAATCCCAATGGCTTTTCATATGATCAAAGCTATGAAATTTATCCTCCTGATTCAGCTTAGGACTCTAGTCAGCCTTAAATCCATTTTTTCTGTCTTGTCTGTTCAAATGTTTAAAAATAACTAGTTTTTTTCATTTAAATTATAAGACATCAAATATTTTATGAGAAGAACCATCTTAGAAGTTTTGAGAATAGGTATTGAGAAACTAATAGCATTAAGGTAAATATCTCAAGAACACCTCTGCTATAGAGATTTATATCTTTCCCTTACAACATGGACAAACCTCTGAAATGCAATCTTCAGGCACTACATTTCTCTGGAAGGTCACAAACTGTCATAGTTTAACCCCAACCAGCAACTAAGACCCAGGAAGCCATTCAGTCTCTACTCTTGCCTCCATCTGGGTGGGAGAATCAGAAGACTTAAAGTGAGAAAACTTGTAGGTTGAAATAAAGGCAGTTTAATGGGACAGGAAAGGAAGATAATAATAATAACAACAATAATAATGATAAAATAATTAGAATATAAAAACAAGTAATGCGAGTGAAAACAGTTACTCACCACACCCAGCTAGTTGCCAAGTAGTGCCTGCCTCGCCAGCTTTCTTCCCAGTTTATATACTGAGCATGGTGCTGTATAGTGTGGAATCTCTATTTGACTGGTTTGGGTCAGCTGGTTCTGGCTTTGTCTCCTCTCAGCTTTTTGTGTCCCTTCAGCCTTCTTGCTCAGTATAAAAGCAGTTCAGTAACAATTAAAATATCAGTGTATTATCAACATTATTCTCATGATAATCCAGAAGGCAAGACTGCACCAGCTACTAGGAAAAAAATCAACTCTATCCCAGCTGAAACTAGGACATAGACTAACACTTTCAAGTTTGTTTTCTGTATTGTTAAAAATTCTGAATTAGATCCTGCATTAAATGGGGTAATAAATTAACAAATTTCTCCAGTTTAGAGAAATGGTTAATAATTATAAATCTATGAGATTCTAAAATAAAATGTTACCACTATACTGTCTGTTTCTTGAACAGATTTGTTAAGAACTTTTGATTTCATCCTCTTTCGTAGGTCAAAACAACTTGTTGCTGGAAATTAAGTATGTGTTTACTTTTATGCAAATACTGTTTTGATTAAGTATGCTTCATGAGGCAGCACGTTCCAGCAATTGAGTTTACCCCTACGCTCATCTTTTGGTCATTAACACAGGGTAAGAATCAGCTCATATTACTCGTATATGTCTTTTTTGGTTTGCAACCATTATACTTGTGCAAAAGACTAAAGCACATCTTAAACCCAAATCAAACAGTGGTTTGCACCTTTTCTCTGCCGCTTTATGCATTTTATCATTTAAAAAAAAAAGGAAAGTTTTACAAATTTGATGTTTTCCTCCTTTTACATTAAGGTTATAGTTACTAAGAGATAATCTATTTAAGCTGAGAACTCCCAGTAACATAGACCTTTAATGTAAAGCTTGTAAACTGTATAATAGTGGTAATAAGTGATTATTATAAGACACTGCAAAATGTAATCAATGTCAATTGCAAATACTTTTCCTTGGTCATATACATCCAAAGTACTAAATTGTTAAGTTACTAGTCATTAAGCTCAATTTCATTCCTGTTTCTTTGCACAGGGATAAAGATGGAGCATCTTGATGAAAAAGTCAATGTCAGAAACACCATCAAAGTTCATCTGCACCAGTGATATGCTTTTTCAGGGGCACCTTTTGGTTCTAAGCAGCAGTTATGATTCCAGTGCATCTCTGATTAGAAGATTACAAAAAGACTTGTGTTACATGTAATAAACCTGTACTTACTATTTGTTCCATGCTCCCTATTAAATATTATGAGTACATATATTCCGTCAGAAGCACAGCAAGAGAAAAATATATTATGTCAGTCCTTGCAGTAGGGACCAGACTGGGGTAAGCATGCCTTAACAATTCTGGATACTGTCTTTTCTAAGCAGCTGGATTCTTGGCAGCTCCTTAAGTCAGAAGGCCAGGAACAATTGGAGGAAGAAAAGGAAAGTTCTGCACTTAAAGTTAGTATTCCTAGGGCTGGAATAACCTTGAAAGGCGAATGGGTAGGATCCAGTGTGCACACAGATTGCTGAAGATCTCACTTTGGCATTTGGGATCTACAAATAGGAGCTGTCTGTGCCCAAAACTTATTGCTTGTAAAGGAGAAAATGTGATTTTTGGAAGAAAATTTGAGAGGTCTGGTCTAGTGCAGATTTAGCACCTGCTCTGAAAAGAATTAAATTTTTGGTCACAGAAATAGATGCTTAAAAATCTACCTATGTTCACAGTTTAGTTAGTGTCAGTGCAGGAAATGAGGATAATACACTGGCACTTGATTCTGTGTGAAAGGCAAACATCGTCTAAACTTTCACTAAAGGAACAGAGTTTCCTCTACCTGTTCCATGGAGCGGTTTTGGGTGGAGCCACTCCACTTACTGGCTTGAATGTTGGGTTGTTACTGTTGGGTTCCAGCCAGCAGAGGATCGTTAACATGTCCAATGGAGCATCGCAGTGCCAGTCTGGGAACTCCATAAATTGGTGTCACATCAGAGAATATAGGACCGAAGGGAACACAAAATTTGTGCTCCTTGTGAGGTTTTAGGCTGCACTGCATAAATATAACTTGAGTTGAATATGAGTCCTTATGAAAATGGAGATCTAAAACCACAGTATGGAAATGCAAGGGCCTTAGTATGAGACTACAGATTTCTTAGGACCAGTACACATGTAGATATATCTTATCTACACCATACAGAGTTTTTATATATATGATATATATATGCATACATTGATACCTGTATAAGTATACATCAATGTGAACAAACAAATGTGATAATGATATGCATATTATGTAAATATTTACACATATACATTTTATGCTGTGAGAAATGGCTATGCTGGCTAAAATGCCTCTTTGGAGATATGGTTTACGGAATGGGTATGTTGCCACATAAAACTTGGACTAGGATAATTATAATGCATTTCAATATCAAGGCAAGGCATAAACATACTTTACAGTTTCGCTTTTAAAAAATCTTCTGAAAACTCTCATATGTTCAGTTGGCTTTTAAGATATATGAATGTGTTTAAAAAGCTGTGTTTCATTATTGAAAATGTTGGTAATTCATGGCCTTTAGCATTGCACACATATTCATCCTGGCAAGCCTAAGTGTTCTCAATATTGTTCATCACCTAAGAAAGAATATAAATTAAACAAAATGTACAGGTGACAAAACATGAGCATGAGGGACTGTGGAGATCTTTTTTACGTTTCATGAATGTTTCAGTGTTTCCTCAACCTCCAGATAAGTTAAGTGTCAAAATTAAATTACCCCACTGAATTATACTGTGAAAAAAAAAGTTGAGAAAAAATGTGTGTGTTACATTTTATCTTATCTTATTTATATGGGGAATACCCACATTCTCCTTTTAGAACCTCCAAGGGGGACTTGTGAGAGTCCTTCCATTGTAAGTGGAGGGCAGATTCAGGACTCCTTGATGAAATTGAATTGCCCAATTCTATGGAGCATGATGACATGCATCCCATGGTGCTGAGGGTGCTGGCTGATGCTATTACCCAGATACTCTCTATTATATTTGAAAAGTCATGTTAGTCAGGGGAAGTCCCTGTTGACTTGAAAAAAGGAAACATCACTCTGATTTTTAAAAAGGAAAGAGAGGAAGCCCCAGCAAACAAGAAACCAGTCAACCTCACCACTGCACCTGGGAAAATCATGGAGTAGGCCATCATAGAAACAACATTAAGGCACATGCAAGGCAAGGAGGTGGTCCATGACAGCCATCATGGCTTCACTAAGGGCAAATCATGCCTGAACAGTCTGGTACCCTTCTATGATTGCAATGATCAACAAGAGAAGATCGACTGACGTCATCTATCTAGATTTCTGTAAGGCCCTTAATACAATCCCCAAAATCATCCTTATCTCCAGATTGGAAAGACATGGATCTGAAGGATGGACTATTCAGTAGATAAGGAATTAGTTGAACACAGCCAGAGAGCTGTGGCAAATGCCTCTATGTCCAGGTGGAGGCTGGTGACAAGTTGTATCCCTCAGGGCCCTATATTGGGTTCCATGCTCTTCAATATCTTCATCAATGCCATGGACAGTGAGAGCAAGTACATCCTCAGCAAGTTTGTAGATGGCACCAAGCTGAGCTTTGCAGCTGACCCAACAGGATGGAATGCTGTTCAGGCTTGTACAGAATATGTACATGCTTGAAAAGTGGGCCCATGAGAATCCAATGAGGTTCAACACGTCCAAGTGCAAGTGCACCTGGATGGGACAATCGCAGACATGAGTAGAGAATAGGAGAGGAACTTATTGAGAGGAATTCTGCAGAGAAAGAGTTGAGGGTTTCGTGGATGAAAAAGCCAGACATGAGCCAAGAGTGTGGCTTAGAGCCCAGAAAGCCAACCATATGCTGGACTGCATCAAAAGAGGAGTGGCCAGCAGGCCGACGGATATGATTCTTCCTGTCTACTCTGCCCACATAAGACCCCCACCTGGAGTGCTACATCCAGGTCTGGGGTCCTCAGAACAAGACAGACATGGACCTGTAAGAGAGTGTCCAGAGGAAGGCCATGAAGATGATCAGAGGGCTGGAACATCTCTCCTGTGAAAACCAACTGAGGCAGCTGGATTTCAGCCTGCAGAAGAGAAGGCTTTGGGAACAATTTATAGCAGACTTCTAGTACTTAAAGAGGGCTTATGAAAAAGAAAGACAGAGACTTTTTACATGGGCAGATGTAAAAAGTCTCTGTAAAAAGATGAGAGGGAATGGTTTTAAACTGAAAGAGGGAGATTTAGATTAGATATTAGGAAGACATTATTTACTGTGAGGGTAGTGAGGCATAGGAACAGGCTGCCCAGTGAAGTTATTAATGCCCCATCTCTGGAAGTGTTCAAGACCAGGTTAAATAGGGCCTGAAAAAACCTGATCTGGTGGATGACATCCCTGCCCATGGTGGGAATTTGGATCTAAATGATCTTTAAGGTCCCTTCCAACTCAAACTGTTCTGTGATTCTATGATTAATGATCCATTAGGTCCAAGGTCAAATCTTCAGGTAGTATAAAATATAAGTTTTATTGAAAGAAAACCTTGTCTCCATATTTTTTTTTCTTTAACATGAATGTTTTGTTAATTATGACCAGCTCTATAACTTTGATTATAGGAAAATGTATACACTTATATTGGTTAGTAAGATTTAGCTATGTCTCACAAATGTTTCTGGAAACATTGAATTATTATTGAGAATTAAGTTTTCAGAAAAAAATCTGTCTGACTTGTCAAAGAAAACCTTTTATTTTTCTTTAAATCTAGGCTTTTAATTCCCCAAATATTATCTAAGATGGTGTTGACAAAACATCTTTTTTAATCTCTTGAATAATTTGTCTAGCATCAAACCAAAATAGACACATCGGATTTCAGACAATCAAAAAATCACAGACTGGTTGAGATCAGAAGATCCTCTTATATATAATAATCTAAATTTACTCATTTTTAAAATATAAAATTAGCTGGATATGGAGAACTGCTTCTGTCACACTGTACCCTTTATTTTTCTTACATAACTTAGCTTTTTGGAAAGTATTGAGCCTAATCTAGGAGACCAGATGTGGGTGAACTGGTAACTGCATGTAGGATCCATATTTAGAGCAGTCAGAAGAAATCAAGAGCTTGATTTGATCCATGTTGTACAAGGACTGGGACAAAGCCTGCCTTACAGAGTTGCAATCTAAATAAAAATGACAGACAGCAAGTAGCAAGGACATAATAAGCATCCAAGTGCCTTGGTGTCAGGGTCAGAATTGCAGTTCAAAGTCCAATCCAGTTATCTATTTTTGTTCATAGCCATTTTCCAAGTAGGATGTACAGATAAATAATTTATGCTTTATTTTTTCCTACTACTCATGGATCTACCTTTGATTAAACACAAAGCTGTTTTCATGTTATTATATTTTTTGTTGCTGTTATTTAATCTTGTGAACAGGGTTATCTATTTGTCTGTAACATGCAATTTAATATCATATGGTATTTACAATCAGAGCTGATTGAACAGATTGCACTTAAAATTTGATGAAGATGGTAGCATGATTTAAATTTCATCTCAGACCTACTTATTGCTTTAACCTGCAGAATATTTGAAAGAGGATTAAGATAATAGAAATAATTTTGATATGAGTTTGATTATTCTTTACAATCTGTAGAAATAACCTGTTTAAAGCAAAACAAGAACAGAATCCTCACAAAATCTTACATAACTGGAGATCCCATATCACTTTAATGAATGACTTACAGTAACATTTTACAGAATATTCAAAATAAATCAGGTAAATACAAAAAAACCTCTAACCTTAACTGAATTTTTTTTCTCTTCACCTCATTGAGTTTTCTTACAAACAGGTTCTTCCAAGGTAACTGTTTCAGGACAATGACAAGCATTCCTATAAAACTTCTAAAATTTCTTCAATTATTATGATTTATAGTACATTTTAATGCAAAGTAAAACTCCCTCTACTTTTTATAAACTTGGTTTATAATTGTGATCATTTTTGTTGCATGAAGCAGTGACGGAGGTCATCTCCATGTACTGGTATCATCCTTCAGCCTAGAGTAACTGTAAAGAATTGTGTGGGAAGAAAACAGCAAAACTGAATCTTTTCTTCCACTAAACTGATGATTATGATTTAGACAAACTTTTTATATAAAATTATGCTAGTCAGTACACTAAATAACTTAAAGAATTAAAGTAATTTTGAAGATAATTGACAGGAGCATTTTGCTTTTCTTTAAGAGCAATTTTAATTTTCAGGGAAAGTAAATTTTTTGAGTTACAGATATCATATGTAACTGATTTGTGACTGACAAAACTGCAATGAGCAGTTTAGAGAAGAATGTTATTTTACTGTTAATAGGAAGGTTTAAAAAAATTAAGTCACATGCAAGCATAAACTATCTGGCACTATCCCCACTCAATAGGAACATCCTGTGAAGGTAGAGCATGAATATAAACACTTATACAGTCCATGACAGGAGCATAAAAAATCCTGGATGTGATAATTTCTCAATCTACTTCTTGCTGTTCCCTAAAGCTATTTCTCCTAAGAAGAAGTAAACTTTGTAAAGCAAGTTTCCTGATATATTTTCTTACGGCTTTTAAAACCTACGATCCCAATTTCGAGATATTTGGTGCATCTTTCTGTGCTATATTTTATTTTGATTTTGAAAAATCAAAGAATATGTTATAGGAAAGAAAAAGAATCTGACAATCAGAAATGCATGACATTTTAGCATTTCACCTGTTATCTCACTGTCTTAGTAAATGATCTTCACCTACTTTGAGAAGCCCTAGAAGCATCAAGAGAAAACAAATCTGAACAGTCTTGTTCAATCAAGGCTATCTAGGAAAAGTTCTCAATATTAAACACATATATTGAAGACATTAAGGTTTCTCAATTCAAAATTTAAGAAGATAGTAAAATACTTATTAGTTTTTATTGGAATTTGTAGGCTATAAGAAACAATATCAGAGAAATTTATATGGTTTTGTTTTTATCAAACTAATGAGCTGAAGCTTTACACCTCCAGATATACTCTTCGAGGGTGAGAAAAATATTATGATGTCAATGCTGGTGATAGTCAACGTTAGTTTTAGTAGTTTGGAGATATATGACCTGAGAAAAATATGTCTGTCTGGCTTCAATACAATTTTTGCAGTCTCATTACAATAATCATTGGTAAATTAATAGCGACAGGTGTTGGTAGTTCCTGGGAAAAGTTGGGATGTACACAGTTCATTATACAGCAATAAGATGGCCTTGCTCTTAATCTTCTTGCCCTTTATTATAGAACCACAAGAAAAATTTTCTTACATTCTTTAATAAAGTTATGATTTTGAAATCGTCCTGATGAAAGAATATTTTAACACTAACTGTTTTTTGAGACAGAACACTGAAATAATACTGAAGTCTCACGATCTGTGTTAAGAAGGCAATTTTTACAGCATCACTAACACCAAAAGGAATTAAAGACTTGTTGATGGAGTTCTATTTTTAATAGAAATAATAAAACTCACAAAACACAACAAATAAAAAAAATAACAGGGAAAAAACTCAACACCCCCCCTCCCCCCACATACAGGTTCTGTAATGCGATTCTTTGATTTCTAATTTGAAAGAAAATTTTCAAATGTTTTTCACTTACATTTATATTTCTGGATTTCATTTTTCATGCAGTTTGAAAAATGAAATTTGAAAATACTATTACCAACTGAATGTAGCCTAAATATAGGGGATAAAGAATAACTGACAATGTTTAAACAGATACACTCCTTTCCTCTGGAGGAATCTGCTGCTGCTGTGAATACTGATACATCTTTTGACACTGAGAGTGATGAGTTAGGTGTAATTTCAGATCAAGACAGCAGACTACAAGGTCAAAAGCTATCCACTTGAGATAAATCTAATGCCACCATATAGAAGTTAAGAACATTGATTTAGAAATTCAGTAACATAATAAGCAGAATATTATTGCTCTACCATTTGTGTGCTCATTTTCTTTTTAAATTTACATCTGAGAGAGGTTATAGTTATGATTTAACTTGGGACAAAAGGTAACAGAATAGAATAGAAAAGCCAAGCTGTAGATCTTCTAATGCTTTTGGATCCTAATCAATTCAAATGAGACTTTCTAAGTAAACACACGTGGTAAAAGCAAATTTTTCATGAAGTGCCCCTAGTGGACCTGAACACAGTCCCAGCCTCAGCCATAGGGAACAAACTAATTTGCTGTCAGACAGTACATCTCTTCTTGGAGAAAGAAAGGTTTGGTAACTCATTCTGAGGGCAGGAAAAAAAAAACCACAGAAGAATATTCTGAGCAACTCCATAGAAATGATCAATCCTTCTCCCATTCTGTGAAAGTTACCCAGTAATTACCAGCTTATGGTGTATCTACTCCTGCTGGATTCGAAATTCTATTACCTTCGTCAACATTTTTTGAAAGAAAAAGGCAAACAAGTGATTTTTAAAACATATATATAAAATTATTAGATTCTAAAATGTCTGTTAGGGCACAATGTCTGCTATAATTTTCTTTCTAAAAATATAAATATCAGATCCTCACAGTTCTCTTTGTAACCAAGGGGCTCAGATGAATTGTGCTACCCATTAAGGAGAAATCTTCTCTGTCTATACATCAATAAGTGTAGACAGAGAAGAAACCATAAGACCAAAAATTTGTAACAGCAACTATGCTACTAATCTAGAATTTGTCACTGAGATGGTGAAATTCAGTTCCCAAGTAAAAAAAAAGGTACTTTTTTCTGTACAAGTAAATCTCAAAAAGCAGACCAGAAAATTCACAAACAGGTCATAAAACCATAACACATAATAACTGCATGTCAGTGCATTGTTACATTCAATAACACCAAAAGAATTGCTGGCAAAATCTGCACAAGAGCTGCAGTAATACCAACACGTGGCCAGAAAGAGAGGGAAAGAAAATACAACACTCATATTTCACTCATAGGGTCCCAACATTCACATTCTGAAGCCAGAATCACCAGTAATGAACCACACTGGTGTGTCACTCACCATCTACATCATATTCAGTGCTGACAGCGACTGAGGGTGATTGAAATATGTTTAAAATATATGTCCTTAAGTTAATGTAAAACCACAAGCAAAGGATATAACAAAGCTTTTATGGTTTAAAATATGTGAAAATCCATGTTTAGAGCAGTCTTACAGAACAGGCAACATAAAATATTTTTATTAAAGATTATCTTGTCAATATAAAAGTAAAAGTTAAATTAATACAATGTTGAACTAGTTAAGATTAACACAGTGTTTAATTACTGGAATCGACCAAGTCTGACAGCAGATGCTTCTAGATGCTGAGGGCAGAGATTTGGTTTCAAACTGGAGATGGATGAAGGAGGAACAGTTTCTGTAACTATGGAAATTCAAAATGGCCACTGAGACCAGCATGCTATTAATAGCTCAGATCTAGAATCATTGGCTTGTTTGCTGAGTCTGCCAGTCAGGGTGCTAACTGACATCAACCACAGATTTAAATGCAAATTTCTTCTCATTCTTATTAAGTTTTCTGATCCTTGTTGATTGTATTCCCCTTACTACTCATATCTGCATTAAGAAACATCAAGGTTTAAGGCTTTAGGTCTTTGATCTGTTTGCATTTACTGCTGTTTGTAGCTGCCCTAATAATTTCTTTGCTCTTCTGTAGCCTCCAGTGGAGACAATGCAGTAGAGTTTGCCTTGGGCCAGGTAGAGTAATTTTCGTTTTTGTCTTAAAATGCAAGCAAGCTTGCCATGTGGTTTCTGAAGGCAACGAGAGTTACAACCAAGAGACTGAAAAAAAAATGTTGGCATTGGCTAGGGAAACCAGAATGGAACTCAGGAGTACTGTCCTTTTCGTTGGATTGCTACATTTCTATATGTGGTTTGGCATTAAACAATACCATAACAGAGGCTTTACATGTTTCTTAGTAAGCAGAAGATTATTAGCCTCTTTCACGACCACGAGTGTCAGGGTATTCTGGAGTATCAGAGGACAGTCAGGAGTGTTTCACCTCCCATCCATGGACCAACCAAAAGCCAAAACCAGACTACGTTGCTTGTGGTAATGCTGGTACAGTCAAAATTAACTATCTACAGCAAACTAAAAATCAGTAACAGATACAGAAATTTATGTGTTATGGGTATGATGTTGTTCGTAATTCCCAGTAGTAACCTTAGACCTCTAACTCACATTAGAATATCAGCTTGCTAATTTTTACTGATTCTTCCATGACAAGTTTCCTCTGCTCCTCAAAAATCTGTGAACTATGCTCAATAGTACCATCTGATGGTGAAAGCAGATCATAGATTTACCAAGCAAATAAATGCTAATAGCTAAAATAATTCAGTACCTTGAAAATGTGTTACAATCTTTTATGGTTTTTAGCTTTTGTTTTCTGTGATATTCTACCTACTTCTGCAGCTGGTGTAAACAGAACTCATTTATGATTGAATCTCAACTTAGTACATAGAAAAGTAGATCCTTGATCCATCTAGTACTCCTGATCAGCCTTAGCAAACCTTTTAATTTCTCAGGTTAAAT